CACAGCTTATTCGGTTCAACCAAAAGATCTCGCTATTTCGTACGTTGATGTGTGTTCTCTAAACAAATATACATTCGAATAGCTCGAAAAGAAACACCAAGAAATATTGTGATTCAGCTATGTATATTAGAGGAAACAGCTTTGATAACTGAAAATCTTCAGTTTCATAATAATACAATATAGTAATACTTCTATATAATAATAATACATTACAATTAATTTATGGAATTGCACTGGCATTTGCAAAGTGGCGTACATTCCAGGGAAGCCTTAGCACACTTGCATCTTGTACATGACCGTTTACAACTGCACTTTATTAGTTCTCTACAGGCCTTGGACACTTCAGGTATGGTGATCCACTGTGGAACCCACTTGCCCTCCTCTTCAATCCAAGAGAACTGCAGTGGTGATGGAATAGTTGGCTGTGAGTGATGACTGGCTGTCCAGATACCGGCCTKKTAAACACTGCGATTAACATGCTGCAAAAGGGCATCCTGCAAATTATAAACAGCTGTTGCAAAATCAAGGTTATTGAAAAAAGGTCACTTGTTGTTTCATATAAAACAAAAGTAAAAGCACWTTCATTCAAACTTGTTACTGTAAATATGTGCTAGTAATACTTACCTGTGTAGGCGGGAGCTTGTCTATTGCTCTGTTGTTCTTACAGAATAGCTCCATACGSGTTAAGTTGATGTCGCATAAAGGGCTRAGCTTATCGTACAAGATGACGGTGAATCTCTCGATCTGCTTAAAGAGGGGGGAGTCTGTTGTGAGCTCCATAAATGGTGTTGAAGCAAGCATTTCAAAGGTAGATGTAACCTCGGGAAATATCTCCCATGCCTGCCAGGCTGACTTCTTCCCTTTCCCGAAGAAGCACGATGTAGTGTCACATCCAGTCAAGGCATGGAATATGGGCAAAGAAGTACATCTTTGTTTACCAAGAACAGCACATATAGAGTTGACACTGACATATCTAAAATGCCGACCCATTCCAAATGCAAGCCACAGATCAAGCTCAGGTTGGACTTCTCTCAGGTCATGAAACTTTCCGACCAAGATGACTAGAACATCGGTATCCACAGTTCGAACAAGGATAGTTTTCATCTGGTCAACTTGTATGGCATGAAGGATATGCACCACAACCCTTGTATCGGCTTCCTCGTGAGTGCAATCTGCCATATYATGGGAAGAACCGATGGTGATCACAGAAACACCTGGAGTAAAGAAATAGTGATAGTTAACATTTTTATGTGGTATTCCAGAAATATGCACATTGATTTTTGGCATGAATATTTGCATTGTAAGATTGTTTCTTAGTAGAACACTATGGTTCGTCTGGTCACATTAATGAAATGTTAACTTCATACAGCATTCTTTGTTTGGAAACATAACTAAAAYATGTCTTTTATGTTTACCTGATGTAATGTAGATTGTCTTGTCCTCTGACCAGAGATGTTCAGAAACCTTTAMAGACAAGAAGTCAAACAACTCTTGTTTGTTAATGGGGTCACGCAGGAATGACATCCAGTTAGATGGCAGTTTTGTGTCCCCTGCTACTTTTCTCCRAACGCCTTTGCCCCTCTTCTCCCTTGTTGAATCCTTAAGACTATTAGCTAGGTACGTGTCCCAGACAACGTCAATGCGTTTACACTTCTGGCTGCTGATGTGAGGGAAGAACACCTTCTCTGCATATTCATTAAAGGTTGCAGCACCATTTAGTGGCAGGCAGTGGACCACAACAGCCCCATCTAGAACATTACAGTCGAACTGCYGTGGAGTCKCACCTTGAGTTGTTGGAACGAGAAATTGTAGAAGTTCCGATTTAGTGTTTGGTGGTCTGAGACGTCCAAATTCGGATAGAGAGGGGGGAAATGGCAAAACTTCGTGGCTGAAAAACTCTTTGAGATCTGCATTACGGCTCTGCATGGCAATGTACAGCTGTGCAAATAGTGCTACATTATTTTGAAGAACTGCTATCTTCATTTTCTGTTTAGATTTGTTTGGTAGAGATCGTTTCTTGAATAGAGGAATCTTGTTCATCTTGATGGTTTCGTGAATGGAGGTCGTTCGCTCCACTATGACTGCCTTGACATACTCCTTATACTTAGTCTGACCAAGATTGTTGAGGTTCATCACAGACTGAGCAACTTCATCATTTGTACAATCGYGGCTATCCAGGGTAACAAGCTCGGGGAAATYATCGATGAATGGGTTTCCCATCTTTCTTATAACATCTACTAAATTATTCACTTGCTGCCTGAATGTTTTTTGAGCACTTAAGCCCATCTCATGATTTAGGCGCTCAGAATCATCATCGCCATTGTCAATATATTGACCTTCGAACTGACGTAACAACCTTGTTAATTCKGGGCCTGAAAGCATCCAACGTCTAAGAAAAAATATGAACAAACACTG